CAGGAAGAGCATCTTCAGAGGAGGGACAATACGGCCACAGGAAGAGCATCTTCAGAGGAGGGACAACATGGCCACAGAAGGAATGAAAGCATACTTCAGACATGCTTCTGCCATGACACTGGGAGCCGTGAATGAAGTAGACCTTCTTCAAGTGATGCAGGGAACAGCTGTTCACTGGCCCCATTTCCTGTGCCCCCTTCTCACAGCGAAGCTTCCTAACATCACTGTGTGTGACTCACAGAGGACAGACATGCTGGTTCCAGAAACAGTCAGCCCTAGCCAGGCAGGTAGGCAGGCTCCTCTGCATAGCCGTGTGCCCTGCAAACATCTCCTTTTCTGAGTGTGCCTGCAGTGAGGGCACAGCGCACAATCTAGTCTGTGGTAACAGAACAGCTGATCATCCACTGAGCACATGGATGCCTTCAATAAACATCTCAGAGCCAAAGCTCTGCCAATGCAAGGAACCTGAAAGTGGTACACACAGCATCCAAGACACAGCTTATTCCTGCCTTCCTTTCCTTATTCCTGCTGCCTGGGAGGCAGACAGGAAGGCTGGAGCTAGGCAGCCACCTTGGCCCAGAAGGTGACCTGAGGAATGTCTCACTAACACCTGGGCCACCAGTCTCTAGTATCTGGCTGATGAGACCTAGCGTTTTCTATTGTGATGAAGCCATTTCTGCTTTAGACTTCCCTTCACTCAAAGATAACCCTAACCCAAGTTCTGATGTCAACAGTGCTTAAGTGCTGCTGGGCTTAAGCAGCCGACCTTTCCATTACAGCTGGACACCCAACCACTGTGCTGCCAGGGCTCTCTCTAAAGTCTCGAAAGTAAACAGCCATGAATTCACCCAGGAAAACAGGCACATTTAATCACTCATCAGAATCCTGGGTGGAGGGAAAAGCTAACTATCCAACAACCTTTAAAAAAAAAAAAATGAAGGTGTGTTTTTACTTTTTCAGATAACTGAGGCAGAAACAACCCATGGTGTCCACCCAGCAGCCTCGAAGGGCAGTGGCCAGCATGCAGCTACATGTCCCACTTAGTAAAGAGAAGCGCTGGCAGGCCAGGTCCAGGTAGGCCACCTCCCTGGAAGGATATGGCAGGAAGAGAACCCTAACCGAGCAGAACACGTTCCCTCCAGGACAGGGCTGGATGTGGGTGCAGGGGAGCGGCCAGGGAGGGGCTAGGACAACATTTAAATAGATCCACTCACATTCCAGATATCAGACCATGTGACTGCATGCTTTTGCTGTGTGGAGTCAGTTCTGACACATAGCAACTCTGTACAGGGTTTCCAAGAAGTGGCGGGTGAGTTTGAACCACCGACCTTGTGGTTGGTAAGCCAGTGTTTATCCTATGGTGCCACATCAGGGCTCTTATACGAAATGTTACAGTTGTTGTTAAGTGCCAACTCATAGTGACCCTGTGTAGGGTTTCTGAGGAGTGGCAGGTGGGTTTGAACTGCCGACCTTGCGTTAGCAGTCCGGTGCTAACCCTAAAGCCCCACCCCAGTCTTACTAATGCATACATGGACAGAACAACCAGTTTCCAGAAACCATCCCGTTACCTTCTCGCCAGGCCTGGACGAGGGCTGCAGCTTCTCATAGTCTTTCTTGGTCTCTAAGATCTTTTTCACCAGTCCACCTGTTGGGAATCAGCGGTTCTGGTTAAAGTTCATTTTCTGGGATAGAAGCCACTTAAAGTGAATGAAGGGGTGGGAGGATCATCGACCTGGTTTGGTTTCATTTCCTCTTTCAGTGAAAACGACTTTGTCTAATCTTTATTTGATAAAAGAGTCTCCTAAAGGTGGGTACAACAACTGCCATTCAGAACAGAATGTCTCAGGTTAAAAAAAACAACGCAACTTCAGAAAGAAAACTTTCTTTCCTACTTCCAAAGACTAAGAAGAAAAACAGACTGACATCCCAAAAGATCCATGCTGACGGCAAACTGAGATGAGAATTCTGAATTGCTTCTAAGTACTAACGTTGTTGTTAAGTGCCGTCGAGTCGGTTCCGACCCATAGTGACCCTGTACAGGGTTCCCAAGGGTGTAAATCTTTATGGGAGCAGAAAGCCTCATCTTTCTCCCGCGGAGCAGCTGGTAGTTTCGAACCGCTGACTTTAAGGTTCGCAGCCCGATTCGTAACCACTACGCTACCAGAGCTCTAATACATCCTTTATATTGATTGGGGCAAGAGCCATTCAATTTCCTTAAAAAATTGTGATGGTGATGGGCATGGTGGAGGTGGTGGAGGTCGTGGTGGTAAAGGTGGAGGTGTGCTGTTGAGTCGATTCCTACTCACAGTGACCCCATGTGTTATGTAATACAGAAGAACAACCCTGAGGGATTCCTAGGCTACAACCGTTATGGGTGCAGATCAGCAGGTCCTTTCTCTCATGAAGTCACTGAGTGGATTTGAACCACCAACCTTTCAGTTAGCAGTCAAGCATTTAACAGCTAAACCACCAATTCCTTAAGTAAGAATTACTCGTGAGTAAATGCATGAAAAACTGGCTTCTTGAACACTGTTTCCCTCGAGCATGCCTCTACGGGAGTCTGGCTGGATCGGCTATGCGGCACCCACACAGTGAGTGTGAGTGAAAAACTGGGCCCCACAGATGGGGAGACAAATCTCTCTCTTGGTTGCTATGGAACGAAGACCAGGATATACTGTTAAGTAAAAGAAAACCCAAGCAAGCTGGAAAAAACTGTTTGAGCTAGGTGCTGTTGAGCTGAAGTGGACTGGTGCTGGCCATTCTGAATTGCACGATCCTATGGTTCACTAGGCAGACAACGTCAAATTGAAGACGAATGGCATCATTCTCATCATCAAGATGAAAAAAGTGTTGCTGTTGTTGTTAGGTGCCATCGAGTCATTTCAAACTCATAGCGACCCCGTGTACAACAGCATGAAACACTGCCCGGCTCTGCACCATCCTCACAGCTGCTGCTACGCCTGAGCCCACTGCTGCTGCCACTGTGCCAAGCCATCTTGTTGGGTGTCGCCTTCTTTTTCTCTGTCCCTCCACTTTACCAAGCATGATGTCCTTCTTCAGGGTCTGGTCCCTCCTAATGACATTTCTGAAATATGAGACACAAAGTATGGCTATCCTGGCTTCCAAGGACCACCCTGACCGTAATTCTTCCAACGCACATGGGTTTCTCTGGCAGTCCATGGTACCTTCAAAATTCTCCAACACCACAACTCCAATGCATCAATTCTTCCACAGTCTTCCTTACTCGCTGTCCAGCTTTCACATGCATATGAGGTTATTGAAAATACCATGGCTTGGGTCAGGCGGCACCTTAGCCTCAAACTGACATCTTTGCTCTTGAACACTTTAAAAAGGTCTTGTGCAACAGAATTGCCCAATGAAATACGTCATTTGATTTCTTGACTGCTGCTTCCACGTGAGCTGATAGTGGATCCAAACAACTTGTTCAACAACATCCATCTTTTCTCCATTTTTCCTGATGCTATTTATCAGTCTGGTGGTAAGGATTTGAGTTTTCTTTACACCAAGTTGCACATGAGGGTGAACCTGAACCTGAACCTGAACTATCAGAGTGCTCTCAGGACTTTTCCTATGGAAACACTTGGAGTCATGGTTCACCCACAAGCAGTGGGCAGCTAGCTCCTTGGAAACATGGTGACGGGCAGACAAGGGGCAAGATGCCCACAAAACATCTCATCTCCTGTCAGCGTCAAAAGGCCCCAGGAGAGAAGACCAACAAACGAACTCAGGAGGACGTCAGGTTAGTAAGGAGCCCTGGTGGTGCCATGGGCTAAGCACTGGACTGCTGAGAGAAAGTTCAGTGGTTCAAACCCACCAGCCAATCCATAGGGGAAAGATGCACTCTGTTCTCATTAAATTTCATCTTGGGAAATTTATCGGACACTTCTACTCCGCCCTCCAGTGTCCCTGTGAACTCGAGCTGACCAGTCCACAGCGGGCTTGGGTTAGTGGACTAGGCTCTGGCTCCTGTCCAGAACTACAGAACCAGCGAGCAATGGTCACTTTTAGCGTCAACATGACAAGGCTGTGATTTCCTGGGGTTTGGCTAAACATTAAACCACTTGCTCTTCTGTACTGGAATGCAACGAGTTTCCATGTTAGAATCTAACGTGACCAGTCAGTCAGTCAAAAGGGATGTTTCCTTCGGGTGTGTTCTGCCCGACAAGAATACAGGCAGAGCTCCCGGTACCATCGCACTTGGCTTTCTGAAGCTGCGCAGATATCGCGTTTTTGCAAATAGAAGGTTTGCGGCAATCCTGGGCGCCATTTCTCCTGCAGCACGTGCTCAGCGCCTGTCTGTGTTACACTCAGGCCATTCTTGCTGCATTTTGAACTTCTTCAGCACATGATCGTTCACTTCACAGACTACAGGAGCGCAGAAACAGCACTCTTATACACACACACACACACACACACACACACACACACACGGGGAAACCCAAAAAATGTGCATGTCTCACTTTACCATGGTGGTTTGGAAGCCACAGTGTCTCCGGGGTCAGCCTGTAGACCTTCTGTTAGAACTCGCTCACATCCTCCCTCTCGAGCCACGCACCTTCCCCCCCACCGCATGGAGCACACGCTCCCCCTGCCCCTCTGCAGCCCTCCCACCAGAACCCACCGTGGTTCTCATCCTCTTCGAGTTCCACAGCCGGAACCTAGACAAGAAGAAAGGAGACTCAGTGAGTTCTCAAAATTCTTCTATGCATCTCAAGAAGGAATGGCAACGTTCATGAGGATCAGACAAGAAGAAACGTGGGGGAGAAAGATGTGCCCACATAAATCTAAGGGAAGCCCCCCCCAACCCAGGCAGCTTCGCTGTCCCTGCGGCCCACTCACCACTTCCATCTCGGACATGTCCGCGAGCTGGGGCTCAGCTTCCACCATGAACTGCTCGTCCTCTTCGTCATTGTTCTGCGAGTCTATGATCACGCTGGACACGGCCTTACCACTCCCTGCCCTGTGCGGAGGAGGACAAGAAATCAGTCGGAAACTGCACCACGGCTCAAGCCTTCCTCAGTGGGGGGCACCAGGCCTGTGTCCACGGTTACAAGACAGACTGCCACCTCGTGGCCAACGTCACAAAACACAAAGTGAAACAGGTGGACGTGCTGGACACGGGCTCTACTGGAGCACCCCACATGGCCCTCTGGCCCAGGCTGCCCTCCCCGTCCCACTGCGCCCCCACTACACCCCTGTCCCACCATCCTGACTCCAGCACCTGCTCTACACCCTGGTCTCCCGCTCACCCATGGGACCAACCCTGTACCAGGACAGTTGCTGCCTGGACGTCTGTCTTAAAAACACCACATAAAGCACATGGTTGCCCTCGGCACGTCCCTCCCGTGCCCACAGCCCAGCCTGCTCCTATTCCTTCCATCCTGAGACCCACCCCACCCAGGCTGCTCTTATCCCCCCACTTCCATCCTGAGACCCACCCCACCAAGGCTGCTCTTATCCCCCCACTTCCGGTCTGAGACCCACCCCACCCAGGCTGCTCTTATCCTCCCACTTCCATCCTGAGACCCACCCCACCCAGGCTGCTCTTATGCCCCCCCCACTTCCAGCCTGAG